TCACATTACATCACATGCTCTGTGATGTGTGCCTTCCCCTCACCTCTGACCTCTCTCTCCTGCAGATCATCAGCTCCTCCACGCCCTGCGGAGACTTCTTCTTCCGCGGCTGTCGGAGTGCAGAGGTTCAGCCAGTGGAGGCGCCAACATCCAGGACAACAGCCAGCAGCAGGAGTCAGGTCTGCGTCCCCACTGAGGACATCGGCAACATCGTCAAGAAGTGTAATGAGCTGGATCTCAACATCATCGTCATCTGGAAGGTACATGCAGTGTCACACAGTCAGGCTAAGTGAAGCTACAGAGAGCCATCCTGATGTAGAGCTACCAGAAAAACCTTTCCAACTGAATATATATATATATATATATATATATAACTTTCCTGTCTGTCTTTCATTCTACTATGTGATTAATGCAAAAAGCCCAAAATATCATCCTAAATAAATAAATAGATATTATTTGCAAAACAACCAAGCAGATTTTTCAACAAGCTACAGTGAAAACGCTAGCTGCTCTGAGGGGCGTGGCCAGCAGCTAAACGGCTAAACGGGGCTGAAACAGAGGGGTGCTACAATGGTCTGTTTGGTATTCCAGCCAAACACTTCAGAGACATGTTTTGTATATATCTGAGACTTATAATATACTGATGAAAAATAATGGACTTGTTTGTTTTCTGGACCTTTTTCATATTTATTTGACAGCTTCAAATGTACCTTAAATGTGTGTTTGTGTGTACAGGCCTATGTGGTCGAGGACAACAAACAGCTGATCCTAGAGGGCCAGCTCCACGTGGCGCTGCAGACCATCGGCAAGGAGGCCACTTCTCTCACTCCCAAAGAGGTCAGAGTCAGAATTCAAACCGTTGACACATATCTCACTTGCCAAGGTTCTTTGAAAGCTGATAGGCTGCGACCATAAAAACCAAAACGTTGTGTTCCTTTAGCAGGAAACTCAGGAGATGGTGCTGCTCAAGTTTAAATCAGAAGCTCCTCCTCCAGTCATCCTGCCCGCTGCAGAGCTTTCCCAACTCATCAAAACCAACCTGCACTACCCCGAGACATACACACACCTCTTTGTCCAGGACAGGTGAGACACACATGCACACACACCCGCACACACGCATGCCTGGAAGCTGAATCAAATCCTAGATTAATTCATATACAGCTCTGGAAAAAATCATACTCACTTACTTGGAATAAAGCCTAAGCTGTCTCTAACGTATCGAAGGTCTGTTAGAATGTTGTGAGTGAAGCTTCTTCTCTCTGTGTGCAGCCTCTGTGTGGTCCCCGTCACTCTCACCCTGTCCAACTGCTCCCTGGCCCGGGTGGAGGTCATCATCGACCTACGGCACAAAAGCGCCAGGTAAGGAGTGGGCCGTGTTTATCAGAATCAGAAATTCTTTATTAGTCCCACAGTTAAATATATTATTAAAAAAATAAATAATGATAATATATTTTTGTTATCCAATATTTATTTGTCAAACTATTGATTTCTTTACTAAGACGCTGGAATAATGTAAAGCAGACACAATTGATGTCGGGTCTGTCATTTTTTCAATAATGGCGGTTCACTGTTTCATTATCCCTCACAAAGTCTAGTTCAAATTGAACATGTTTTCTAAGTTGTCATTATTTCCATTATTCTCCAGCCCCGAGTCAGTGGAGGTGCACAGCTCGTTCACCTGGGTGGGTCAGACCCAGCACCACCTGCAGCTGAGGCCCCAGGAGGTTCTGTGCCTCACCCTGCGGGCCTGCTTCCTGCAGCCTGGGGTCTACAACCTCAACACGCCGCGAGTCTTCGCCAAGCTGACGGACCAGGGCGCCATGTGTGAGACGAGTCAGCAGACAGCCAGTCCTGCCCTCATCATCATCAACGGCGCCTGAGAGCAGCATGCCCACCGGACTCCTCCAACACACCAACCACTCTTCTTCTTTGATTCTGGGCAGCAGGAAGCATTAATGTTTGTACCAATTACTAAAACAAGAAAATGTGTATTCATACCAAACAGGTTATAGAGCTCTCTGGACTCTTTCACTTGCATGTAACTGTGTGTGTGCGGGTCTCATCCACACACAGCTCCACCCTCCGTGCTCTACTGGCTCCACACTCTGTGGACTAATGCAACAAACCTACTGCACACTGGAGAAGCCATGTGTAAGTGTGCAGGATGAACTGAGCAGCAGTAGAGTAAAGGCGGTTACATAGTGTGACATTGTGACAGGAGTGTGACATCCTGACTATTGACCCCCCCCCCCCCCCCCACCCACCCACCCATTCTGTACTACCATGAGCACGCAGTGGATTTTCTACAGTGTGTTCCACCTCCATATTGTGATCGAGCTCTTATATGCATTGACTTGACAGCTTTTTTTGAAAATGATGTATTATATTTATATAACAAATTGGTTGTAAATAGAAAATAAAAATGTAACTAATGATACTCTATGATCTGTGACAGACTGTATAGAGTCAGGGTATATTGTGGTGATATTATGTACAAATATAATTATTGTGCTCGGTCACAAACAGGGCCTCAGCTCCGCCATGGTCGTCTGCTATGAGAAGAAACCTACATGACACAATGAAACACTCACACACTGAGCTCATGGGAATATTTCTAGATTTGGCACATATAAATGTACTGTTAATACTTTTAGGCCAACAAAATAAATAAATGAGAACTTCCGTACTTCTCCAGCAGAATTTGTGCCAGACATTTAGACTTACGTTGGGAAATAAAATCTTAGTTGCCGTATCATTAAGGTAAGTAATAATAATATATAAATGCAAAGCCTTCTGTGGTTATCTGAAGGAGGCTAATAAAATCAACCGATTTTAGAAGAGGCATTTAAGATTCACATTATTACATTGCATTTAGCTGACGCTTTTATCCAAAGCGACTTACAATAAGTGCATTCGACCAAGAAGATACAAATCTGGTAAATGTTGACGATGGGACAAATACAAAACATTTGTATAAATCTTGCAGTCAGTAATAGCTGCATATATATTTCCACAACACAAGGTAGATTCTGAAATGTAAGAAAAAAGGAGAGAGTGGAATTGTAAGTAGAGCTACTTATCCTGTTTTAGTATTTTGACAGATGGATTAAACATTGTAGTGAATGTAACATGAAGGTAATGGAGTATAACAGTGAGAAATTATAAAGGTTAATGTTGAAAATAAGTTTTTACATTTTTCTAGATTGAGAATATTTACACACCCTGACGAACACAATGTCAGGTAAATGTGAGACTTGAAATATAAAGGACACTGGTGATAGTCTATAAAGAGCAGAGGTGGAAGAAGTAATCAGATCCTTTTCTTAAGTAAAAGTAGAAACACTATATGGTCCTAAAATACTCCATTGTAGGTAAAGGTCCATCATTCAAATGTGTAAAAGTATGAAAGTATTGCCATCAAAGTAAAAGTACTTATTCTGCACAATGGTCCATTTCAGAATAATATAAATTACAGCAGCTTAATGTAGCCTACATAAAGGATCAAAATATTCTCAGCTCTATAATACTCAAGTAAAGAACAATAATGTCAGTGAGTAAATGTACTGAGTTACATTCCACCACTGCTAAAGAGGGACAACTGTAGGAGGGAGGGAGGGAGGAGAGGAGAGCATCAAAGATTAATGAATCCGAATATTTTCCAGAAAAAATCTTTATGAGTTCATGATTTACATTTTTTATATATTTATATTTGCACAGCCCCTAATAAAAGCTGTCAGAGTGCTGCAGTTACACTCCTGTACTATAGATGGCGAAATGCACCTTCAACTTGGTTTGCAGTCGGCCATTAAACCAAAGAAGAAGAAGAGAGTGGCTAAGTCACGCCCCATTTACTTCCGCCCCATGGGACCTTATTTCGGAAAAATAATGTATTGAAGTCAATGGAGAGAGAAAACTTATCTTTCGATCCCGTTTGAATTGTGCCATGAATTACACATATGATGTTTGTCAATCTTAAAAAATAATTTCCATGTCAAAAAAGTCAGTTTGTCGTAAAACTGTTGAAATATAAGACTATGAAAAATACGCAACGAGAAAGACTACAAATCCCAGAGTCGCGTAAGTGATGTCACAATTGTTTTCCTCCAGGAGAGAGATAGCTAAGATCAGCGCAATATAGATATAATCTATCTATATGGCGCTGGCTAAGATAAGATAACTTTAACAAGATGCCTGTGTGCTTAGTACCAGGTTGTTATCATACCAGCAATGGGTCTTGCTCGTTCTTTCGCTTCCCGTCTGATGAAAGGACCAGGAGTGTCTGGATCAAGCTAGCTAGTAGCTAGCACGTTAGTTAGCATTACAGCCTTGTCATTTTTATTAGCCTTAACATGAAGTAACATTAAGTAACCCAAAATGTTAAACAGTAAGAGTAGTAGTCATATTTCGTGAACCCTTTGAAGAGTACTGTCACACCGGTGTGATCATTCTATAATACACAATTTAAGCCCGGGGGAGAAATGCTAACGCTAGCGATCTTCTCTACTTCATGCTATCTGCACAAATGGTCGACATTAAACATTAAAAAGACCAGGCAGTTCAGAGAGAATCAAAGGAAGGCAGGCAGGCAGCTTTGCATGACTTTCTTCAGGACGTGTTTCATTGTGGTGATAGTGAGGGTAGTCAATCGTTTTGTTGACAAGACAGTAGTGACGGCCATCTTGGTGACGTGTGTGTTGTTGTGCGAGACCAGAGATGTAGTTCATTGAGCGTTTCACACAAACAAATGTGTTACTTCACAGTTTTACGACACTTTTTTTTTTTTTTTTACTTGCAAAATTATCTTTTAAATTGACAAACATCATATGTGTAATTCGTGGCACAATTCAAACGGGTTCGAAAGATAGTCTTTCTCTCTCCATTGACTTCAATATATAATTTTTCCGAAATAAGGTCCCATGGAGGTCCACCGGAAGGGGAGGGACTTCGCCACTCTATGGGTGGGGTTATTGTTTCCGCACGGCCCATTTAAGGGACCGGACTGCCGGTTTCCGGGCTCTTCACTTCCCGTCTGGAAGTTGTTTACATTCCTGTACAGATGATAAATAAAAGCCTAGCATGTAGCTTTGATACATCGCCTCTGACTCCTTTCTCTCGGCACTACAAGGGATAAGAAAACAAACAGGGTGTTTCTCAATCGCGAGTACGCTTGCTTGGTAGCACATGTCTGCCGAGCATCTTGCTTCAGAAGCGAGTCAAGAATACTTCCTGACATTTGGAAAACAAAGAGTGGAACAGGCTAGCAAATGCTTGAAATAGTGGCTCTGCAGCAGCTTTACTCGCGATTGAGAAACACCCCCAGATGTGTCTTGTGACTTGTGACCAGCTTTTGAGGAAGCAGTCAACTCAGCTGGGGTAAGTTTCTTTTTTTACGTTAACTTATGTTGGATAAAGTAAAAAGTATGCTCCTTTTCCTGTGATGTGTACTTTGAAGTTCCCACAAGACACCAAGGCGGGACGTTAGTTTCAGTTCAGGTGTTTTCAGGCATTGGAGATGCTCTGTCACAGGAGTCTTCCTTTAAAGATGATAACATGTTCCTCTTCTACTGGTGCTCCTGGTTACTGAGCTGCAGCCTCGATACTTAAAGTGTAGCCTTTAGTCCACAATGGTGCACCTCTTTTAAGGATTTTAATAATTGTAATGATTTTACATTGGGAATGGTATATTTCGAGTTTGAGTAGTAAGTACTAATAGAAGAATGTCAAGCTAACAGTGACTGGAACAAGTTTGACTAGTAAGTACTAATAGAAGAATGTCAAGCTAACAGTGACTGGAACAAGTACAAAAAGGTATCAAATGTACTATGTCCAAGTGATACGAAATGTTGACAACTCATACAAATCAATTATAATTCACATGCCATTAAAATGTCGTGTCTCCTCTGCTCGCACCGTTTACAGCTCATTAAAATAGAGAAGCAAAGGTCGAAAATGTTTGTTCTCAAACAATAGCACAGAAATCACTTCTTCAATGACATTGCAAGTATGAATGTAGTTGAACTACAAGAAAGCTACAAAGTAACATCAAGTTCACCTGGGACTGGGCAACATATTGTTGTTAAATAGATAACGTGATATAGGTTTAAACATTGTGTTAGATTCTGAAATCTGTATCTTTCTTGGTTTTAAAGGCTACATTACAGTTAAGGGATGTCATTCAACATGTTATATTATTGGTCTAACCCACTCAGTCGTTTTATCCACTTTACTAATGATTATTTATCAAAATTCTCATTGTGTATTTTTTATGAAAGCATCAATATCAATATCAACAATTCTGCTGCATTACTGGTATTGAGGTCTTAATTAAAACATTTCATGATATTTCATATACTCTTATCGAAATTGCAATATTGACTAGTGCAATATCCAAGTTGCAGTTATCTCAATATTTAGTGAAAGGCAAAATATGTGAAAATATCTGAATCAAGCATCTTGGTGCCACAGAGAAGTCTCTACAAACGGTATTCTACATACTTCAATACAAAATGTCCGCCACAGATCGTCTTAAAAATCCCACCATGATTGTATTAATATATTTTCAATGGTAATGTTTAAAAAATGGTCATTCCCTCTTATATTGCGAATCATATCATATTGCAAAATAAGTCAATATAATCGCAATGTGTAATTTTTTCAAAATCATGCAGCCATAGTAAATATGTATGTGATTTGAAAGGGCTGACAGCAGCAGAAGCTATTCTCTGAATGACACCTGCTGCACATTGAACCCAAATAAATTGAAAATGGCCTTGTGACCATCATAAAGTGTCTGAATTCACTGTTTTCTGTTATTTTGCCTGTGTGTCTCATGTCCTGCAGGCTGGCAGCAGGATGTTCTTTATGAGCTCAGCACAGAGACGGCTCCCCGCTCAGCTGCTGCTGCTGTGGACGCTCACACACTTCTCTGGTGACTAACAGCTGTTTCTGTTCACTGCGCTCACACACACACTCACTGGCTGTGAAATGTTTATACACACACTGTTTGGATGAAAACCTGTTCCATCATCCTTGAAGCATGTAGTTACCTCGTGAAGATTATGATAATGGTAACATTTGAAATAATATTATAGTTAGTTCGGTTTCAAATCGAATACACACAGAGATAATAAATAAACAATAAGCCATTACTTTTGAATTATTATCAAACCAAAGTTAACATAGTATAGTAAAGTATCATAGTGGAAACATTTAGTTTATTAACCTTTTTATGTTACAATTGTCACAATTCATAAAATGAAAAATAAAAACAGTAAAATGTATGTATATCAAATATATTTAAAGCTTATTTGACATTATGTTCATACCTCACTTTATATTTGCTAATCATCATTTTTTTAAATCTATTCAGTATATCACACATTTTATTTTCCTTTTTCAAACTACTCAAGATTGAACAGCCGTAATTCTGTATTCTCACTACCACATTACAGTGGGTCAGCCTTCAGATGTTATACTTCACACATTCTGCTTTCCAATGATGCATACCAATATGTTTGTTTCTGTTAAAACCTTTGATTGGTTTTCCAAAGCTTTATCCTAAAAAACATTCTGTGTGTTCTCCAGAGTCCAGCGTGTATCTGTTGGGTCCAGATGTCTTCACACTTCAGAAGAACTCTGGAGCCAAAATCAGCCTTACTTCCAGGTGAGGACAGTCAGCCTGCAGCCTCCGCTCCAGGCACTGTAGTGATGGACAGAGGGACTGGACTCCTTTGCTCCCTATCTTTGTAAAGCTTTTAACAGTCTGCTAAGGGCATGAACTGTAAATGCATGAGCATGTTCAGTGGCACCTGAGTGACCTGAGTTTCAGATACAAACAACCTTTGACTTCCCTCATATTCTGCAACAGATTGACCATGACGGGCTACATTTATAGCAGGATACATAGCAGGCTACACGCATAGCAGGTTACACGCATAGCAGGCTACATTCTTTGCATGCTAGACCCATAGTGGGATAAACCCATAGGGGGCAACACCAATAGTGTGCTACGTACATGTTTGTCTACAACCATAGCTAACTACATTCATAGTGGTCTACACCTATAGCGGGCTACAACCATAGTGGGCTACACCCTAGCTGCATTTAGAGTGGGCTGCACCCATAGCTAGTTACACCCATAGCGGGATCCATTCTACACAGTTTTCTGCTTTAGTTAGTATATTTTTGATGTTGCTCTTCTCTTATCTGTTTTAGACTGTGGACTAGCTGTGTGTTCTTGAATGAGTAAGACCTCTGACCTCTCTCTCTGTGGCTGAGACACAGTCAGCTTTTTCTTAACGTTTCTTAGACCACACCTGCTCATGTTCAGCTTTTGTCTCCTGGAAAAGGTGTTAAACAGTTAAAAAATAAAATGTGCTCCGCTATTTAAATGTGTAAATCCAGATCCTGTAACTATAGGTCATATATTAGTGCTTCTTTAACTTTTTAAACTGCATTCTTGTCTTTCTCTAGTTCCCCAGTGAACCAGACTGCTGTGATTCACTTCAACATCTCCTTCAGCTCCAAGCCCGACTACACATCTGTGATCACACTGCCTGAGCAGGTAACACATGACACCAAATACAGGGAGAAACTGAAGTTACCTACTGTAACTCCAGCTTCTATTCGTGGAGCAATTCCAGCACGTTTATGTGGAGGGACATGTGAGCCGGCCACTGTCCCCTCACTGCCTGCGACAAAACACACACACGCGCGCGCACGAGGCCCTCGTCAGCGGGCTCGTAAGCCTGGACGGGCCAATCGTCCTCGGCCGCAGCAGCGAGAGTGTCCGCTCTTCGCTTCCTGTCGCCCGAGGGGAGACGGGCACAGTGTGAGCCGCATACGCGTGCTCCGACCCCAGGCAGGATTCGCATACAGTGTGCTGGTCATAACTCATGATGTACCCTGAGCCACATGAGGGACAATCTCTGACACAATTGTTACTCATGTTTGAAAAATGAGAGTGTCTCTCGTGCTTCAGTAACGGGGTGCTGAAGAAAAGAGGGAGCAGAATATCGGGCCTCCTTCCTATTTATACCGGAAGGGAGCCCGAGGGTGGGGCCCACCTTGCGGGCGGGCGTGGACTAAAAGTGTTTCAGTGCTGCGCGGGTGCGCAGGGGATTACCCAATAGAGATAGCCTTAGAGGGCGAAGCCTATACGAAATAGATAGTCCTCATCCTCCAAACTGTGAACTTTGACCCAAGATAATAAAAGAGACTTTTGCTTGACTTGACTCACAGAGAAGACGTGCTGTTGTCTCTGTTTAGGTGTTGCTGCCAGAGAAAGAAACCTCAGTGATTTTCAATGTGACGGCCCACGATGTTGGTCAGGTGACCTCATTCCTGCTTACCAACAACACAGAGCTCAAGAGGTGGGTGTCTGCATAAAATCAGAATCAATCAGAATACTTAATTTTCCCTTGGAGAAATGTTGTTTTGAAACGTCACAATCTGTCCCTTACACAAAGAATAACATGCTGCACCATCACTGACTGTACGCCTTATTCTCTCTCCTCTAGTTCTGTCAGGATCCACTTCCTGGTTGTCCATAGCAACATCCTGTCAATAATCAGTCAGGTGATTGGCTGGATTTACTTTGTGGCCTGGTCCGTGTCCTTCTATCCACAAGCCTGGGAAAACTTCCGGAGAAAAAGGTAGAGTTCTGTCTGGCCTCTTTCTCTGAGAATATATTTAACTTTTCAGAATTGTGCTTCATATTCAATGGTGTCCATTGAAGTGTATACCCTCCCTTTGCTTTGGTAAGTGATGAGTTGATGATGGCCATAGCTACATAGTGAGCCGTCTTGCTTTATCTCAACTTTCTGGACAGTTTGAGCACTGGCAAGAAGAGGGTAGTAGGTAAAGACAAAGTGTAGATGAATAAGGTGGGATATCAGGTGGGATAAGTATAGGTCGTTGGACTTCGGAAGAGTCGATTTCTGACCCATCTACCCGGGCAATTTCTTTAAAATGTTGAGCCCTGCGTGATCTGTGGGATTCAAAAACTGAATTAGTGGACCGTCAATTCCCAATTTGACACCAATTAAAAAAATAACCAGAGACGGGAGTCAATTTGTACCCTTAAATGAAATGATTTCCCTTCAAATGCCAAGATAGTGTAACTTAAAAAACAGCAGGTAACCAAAGAAAGTAGAACATGTGAAAAGGGTATCCATGTTACACAGTCAAATGTGCACAGAGCAAGACACCATATCAAATGTTTGTTTACTGAAAATGTAAGTTATTACCCATGTAAATGTTTACATAACAATGTTAACTGATCCCCACATGTGTCTTCAGTGTTGTAGGTCTCAACTTTGACTTCCTGGCTCTCAACCTGACCGGCTTCATCGCCTACAGTGTCTTCAACATAGGACTGTTCTGGGTGCCTTATATAAAGGTAACTCCATCACTGTTTATGCAATGAAGCATGTTAAGAACTGAGCTGTCCCTGTTCAACAGACATGGGGACAGTTAACAGTGCCCATAGATTTCACAACAGACTGACATGAGGATATGAAGTTTGATTTGTTGCAGGGATTGACGTGAACTTTATATTTAAGCACTAGCTCACTTCAGGCCGTGGTATATGCTCATTATATCACAGCTAAGGGGCGTGGTTCGGCCCGACGCGAAGCAACCCCCTTAGCTTATAATGAGCATATATCACGGCCTGAAGTGAGCTATTGCTTTTATGAAACGGTTACCAAGTGTGGCAATATGAAAGACAAATAAACACTCTAATTTAAATATTTTTTATTAGTAAATAATGATGTTCAAAATAAAATAGTCCCTCCGTTGCCTTCTGCACAAAACATGCTATGCAACAACACTCACAGCTAGCGAACATATTAGACGGAGAGCGTTGTATGTTGCCGTTTATTGTGCACCCACTGAAAAACTATCCAGCATCAGTAGAATGGCTTACGTGGTTACTTGTATAGGTTGAGGTTGTTCTAGGCTGTTGCTTGGCGTGGCGTCCCCGAGATTCGGCTTCCAGTAGCTCTGGAGAGAGCTTTCGCACCTGTGGCCACAAACGGTCATAATGTCTCTGCCAGTGCTTTGTTTCAAGACCCGCATCGGAAAGCTTTTGAATGGTGATACTTTTCCAGTTGGTCTACCTGCTCTTCACGTAGCTCTGCATGTCGTCGTTTAGGTGCATTTGTTTTCTGGAGATAGCTGCCCCTGTACTGTTCTTTTTTACCTTTTCAATGCTGTCTGATCATTACCGGAGATAACAACATCAACTTTCGTATTTATTTTCATTTAAAATGTTAACTGTGCAGCGTTTTGATTTGTTCAAGCAATTTTATTATTTTATTTTTCTTGTGAAAGGTCAAATAACATTGTCCCCAAGTGGCAGCCTCTGTAGTGCAGGGATTATAAAAGGCTACACTTCCCAGCCTTCTAAGAGATTAAAATATGGGTGACCTATGTGGAAGATGCCGTCGAGTCACACTTTTTAACCGTCAAATTATTTTACGTATAAAACAACAGATGGAAAGGCCATCTAAGTTTGTTTATCATTTGGGATTGCTTCTTTTATTTTATTTTTGATGGCTATTGTAAAGGCCTGTCGCGGGTTCCTTCCTTTGTGTTCGATCAAGCCACTTAAACTCTTTAGACAGACAGTTCTAACGTGTTTTCCTTCATCACATTTGTTTTACTCACATTTGGATGACTTGCTTGGCCTCCGGTGGTGTGTTGATATTGTGCTATGTGTTTACTCCAAATAAAATGACCAACTTTTCACACATTCAACAAAGAAAACAGGCCTTTACAATAGTCAAATCAAACAAGAGGCAAAACTCAAATCAAATAATAAACAACTTACGTGGACTTTCTCTATTCCTTTATTTGTAAAGGCTTGTATCACTTAAATGGTTAAAAACGGTCCCTCGATGGCGTCTGCATGCAGGTTGCCCAACTCAGTCTCTAGAGGCTAGCGGCATGGGAATTGTAGTCCTTTATGCCGTCTTGACTACAGATCACAATTAGATGGCCTTTTTTTATTTTTTTTTATATAAAACAAAAATACTGACTGTAACGAGGCCCATTTCCCTGTTGAATGTGGGTGGAAATGTATATTTTGTATTTCTTTTGGTTAATTAACCATGTGCCGCATTTCATCAAGCCATCATCAGAAGCCAGAGAAGTGAACTAGCAACTAAGTAAAAGTAATAAATTAGAGGTGCGTAAGAGATATCTGTTTAAAAGGCGTCTCAGTGGCTTTAGGAAGAAATGACAGTACTTGGCGTATCCTTTTTATGTATTCATTTTGACATGAAGTGTCTGACTGACGGCCTCTGCTGTGTCCCGCCTGCAGGAGGAGTTGCTGAAGAGCAACCCCAATGGAATTAACCCTGTGAGCGCCAACGATGTCTTCTTCAGTCTGCATGCTGTCGTGTTCTGTGTGGTCTACATCAGCCAGGCCGCTGTGTATGAGGTGTGTTGACATTGTAGAGAAGCGTACGTTTATAGTGAGATGTGTGTTGATGTGAGGATCATGGAGTCGCTCTCGGTGTGTAACTCTGTGTGTTTCCTCACAGAGGGGGGGTCAGAAGGTCTCGCGCACAGCCTACTTCCTGCTGGTGGTTGGCTGGATGTTTGCCTTGGTCAGCCTGTTTCTTGCCGTAGCCAAACAGATCACCTGGCTGGATTACCTCTACTATTTCTCCTACATCAAACTGGCAGTCACTCTGATCAAATATGTGCCACAGGTGAGAGATACACAAAGTCTAGTTATTAAGAAATATGAATTAAGATCAGATTAGATACACTTTATTCATCCCAAATTGAAGAACAAATTGTCACAGCAGCATGTTAACATGCATTAGTTAAAAATATAATAATACAAAGTAAAAATAAAAACAATAACATAATCAGTAACATCAAAACTAGAAAATATATATATATATATCAATAGAGGATCCATTATTATTATTATTATTATTATTATTATTATTATTACAATTATTTATATTAATAAAATCATAACATGGGATTAATGATAATCTGCACTACATGAAAATGTTGCATTATTATAGAAATATATAAAAAGGATAATAATTATTGTAAATGTTGTATTGATATAAATTATTGTAAACTTGTTGCTAGCCACTTGAATATAAATTATTATATTAACTATGATCATTTACACAACTTGGGTTCCAACAGTAACATGGTGAAACCAGTAATGTAGTCTCATAAAATGCATAGTAAGTAATATATACAAATAATTACCTTTACAATGTCTGTTATTCTTTAAAGGATTTCTGAATGTATTGATTATGTACTTAACAATGTACTGTCAACATGTTTTGGCCTTGGTGCAGGGGCATGTTCCTGTGTATAGAGAATCTGCTAATTAAAAAGGATGCAATGCACTTGTTTAATGTCAAATTTGCCAAAACCAACATATATTACTTTATGATGGTATTGATTACAATGCTAGTCCACACAATTCAGTTTAGCATTATAAGTAGATGTGCTTTATGTTGGTAGAGCCTTGTTGATGAGTGGTTACAGTGTTGCTGTTGTTCCTCCAGGCGTACATGAACTACAAAAAGCAGAGCACTGACGGGTGGAGCATTGGCAACGTGCTGCTGGACTTCACAGGGGGAGTCCTCAGTGTTCTGCAGATGATCCTTCAGTCTTACAACAACGGTAACTATTGGCAGCTAACATTGCTAACAACATTTACTGGCAGCTATATGTCCATGATGTTTGAACGCATTATACAGCCATTAGCTAGCTAGCCTAACATGCACTTCAGAGGCCTGTTCTACGAAGCCGGATTTTCCTAACCTGGATATGTTTGAGTTAGCCGGTTGGCCCAATCCAAAACATACGCGCTCTCGCTAAACTGTACTACAACGCTGGTTATCAAGTGGATCGCTTAAGCCAGCCGTGTCCTATCTAGTTAGGTGCGCGTTCACATGAAAGGGGTGGTATTTGGAGCATTCGACCAATCTCAAACACGGACAAGCGTACTGACAGCGCAGCGTCATACTTCCTGAATGAAAAGTGAACTTTAATATTAGTCAAATATGAAGAAGTTAAACTTTAAACATCCATGACTTAAACACTTTATCCAGGATAAAAGCCACATAGCTGCACCTGCAAGGTGAATACAGCTGGTAACAGAAAAAGTGTTTGAATGCGTACATTAACAGGTTTATGATATCACTGCCCCGTCTAAGACACGAGTGGATCTGACTTTAATTACATTTGACTCGAGTGTTTCGTCAACTTAATGTGTTGCTTAAAATAATACTTCTGCATACAGTATGTGACACTGTGAGTGTTGCACGGCCAGATACGGCTCAAGAAGCTGACTCAGATAAGGAAATATTATGATGTGATATGATATGATATGAATGATAATGGGACACATCGACGTCTGCACTCACAGTGCCGCGGACTGTACTTAATGTTACTCTGATCCGGTTACTTATGTTGTGGCAGATATTTAAGTAAGCTTTCTTAACGCTAATGTTATAATAGTCAGATTGCTCTGAAGATGGGAGGGGATATTCTATTAATTTTCACGTTCACACAGTCAGTTGATTTTGGCCGGCAGTCTTTCCTGCAACGGCAGTTTTTCTGTATTTCCTCTATCCTGTAATATGACTTGATAGCTTTAAACTCCGCACACGGAGCTCTGATTGGTCAGCAGGCGGTGCTTTCACTGAGTTGATCTCTTAGCCTGCAACCTAACCTTCTCCCGAGGAGGTTAGCCGCTCAGCATAAGTTACCATGGAGATCTAGCCTGCTAAAAAGAGAACCAGCGTCGTAGGACCGGAAAGCCCGAGTTTTCCCTGAAGTCAGCCGGCTAAGCGAAAATCCGGCTTCGTAGTACAGGCCTCAGGCCTGCACGGCTACATAACACAAAGCAGAGACGCTAGCACAACACACACAGGAGACTTAGGTCTGACCTCAGGAACAGGTTACTCCACGTTATCTCTATGTAGCTAATATTTGTTTTCCACTATATTAATGCCCTGACTAAAGTAAATAGTCAACTTTAATTAAAATGTGTATTTGACACAATGTTAATTTAGGTTTCTGTGGTTTAAACCCCTAAACCAGGGGTGTCAAACTCAAGGCCCGGGGGCCAAATCCGGCCCGTGACTTCATTTTCTGTGGCCCACAAGAGCTTGCAAAGAATATAATATGTATATTATACGGTTACATGCTGATTTACAGAAGCACGTTGCCCATAAACTACATGTCCCACAATGCATCTCAAATTTGCCTTTTTTTCTCCGAATTTTCATATTTTTCTTCAAAATATTCATTTTTTCTTAGAATTTGCCTTTTTCTCAGAATCTGACTTTTTTTTCAAAATGTCATTTTTTCTTTTATTTTGACTTTTTTTTTCAGAAATTTTTTCTTTTTAAATCATTTTGTCAAATGCTCACTGAAGACACTTGCAATTTTTTGCCCTAGACCTCTGCTTTCAGACATAGTTAATTATGAAGTTATTACCCTATCCGATAATAAACCAATTCAGAGGCAATAATGTAATATAATACATTATTTTATATATATTTATATATGTATTTTTATATAGTCTTATATATAAAACTGGCCCTTTGAGTGCAACCATGATGCTAATATGGCCCGAGATGAAATTGAGTTCGACACCCCTGCCCTAAACTAAAAAAACTGTGGAACTCCATTGGACCAAATGAAGTTAGTATAATATGTCTAAAGACTGAATGTTCGTGTAGATGTATTCAGGACCTACCCATGTCAAAAAAGGGAGATGATTGGATTATTTCAGAGAATCGACTGGAAACTAAAATGTTGACGCTGGATCTGATTTTAATTGTATTTGTATTGTATATTTTAAATGTTCATAATTGTTAAGCTTATTCCTAACAATTGTTTTTTAAATAGGCAAAAGTGTAACCTTTCCTTAAGGGTAAAGGAAATCGGTCGTCCTAAGAAAAAATATGCATACACATTATTTTTTCAGTATAAAGCCTGGTTTTAAATCATTGTGGCCTTGGAGACACTCCCTAAGGTAGCTGTGAAATGATGTAGAAACTCCCTTAAACATCAGTTTATATCTTTTATACAATTTGAGAATAAGGTGAAAAATGGAAGTGGTCTGCTGGTAATAATGTCCAGCATAGTGATCATGTGACTGACAGCTGTGTTTCTCTCCTCAGATGAGTGGAGGCTTATATTTGGCGATCCCACCAAGTTCGGTCTGGGTGTTTTCTCCGTGGTGTTCGACATCCTCTTCATGACTCAGCACTACTGTCTCTACAGACAGCGGCCACAGTATGAAGCTGTTACCGGGCAACCAGCCTGATGCTGCCTGTAGATGGAGTGGCAAAAGAACCTTACAAAGGAGCACGCACAATAAGCACATACTGTTTCAAACAGCTGAAGCCTGTGACATAAGATTTTCAACTGCATAATTACTCTGTAGCTATGTCAGATTGACAATAAAGAACCTTGAACCTTGAACCTTGAAGAGAAGTTGTCGTGCCTGTCGTATTTGACTTCCATCATATGTTCTCTTCAGCAGCTTGTACATGTGATGCCTTTTTTAAATGTACATCTCAGGGTTAGCGGTGCTTTTTTTCTTTACTCTGTTTGACAATTATTGATAGAATGTATAAGAACCAATTATGTAACGATGACGATGTATGCACCTTCTTTTTTTTTAATTAAATGAAGATTACCACTAAAATCATTCTTTTTTTATAACTAGGTTCTGATTGATGAATTGCCATGCTAGTATTATCAGACACAGATCAGAAACAAGAAATTACAAAGATATGTTTCAGCCTAGATGCCATCTTTACACCTGGCATTATAATGTGCTTTAGGTAATCAGACTGCATTGGAAAGTGCTTGACCACATTAAAGTACAGGAAAATGTATCATATGGGTGTTGAGGAAGGATTGTGATCCAGAGGTAGTCGGAGTGTCACTACATTGAACACAAGCGTCTTCAGTCCATATACAACCACTGAGCTCTGAAAATCCAGTTCTCATTTTGCACCTGCAATATGAAACAACATGAACAATCCAAAGATGTATCCTTTAGTGCAATTTAAATTGTTTTAATTTCATCCTAATTCACTTTCAGCTTTCATGTTTTAGTTGTTTCATTCAAGTTAAACTTGATCTTCTTTAGTTATAATTAATATTTCTTAGAGGGGCGTTATTATTATATGTATATATGCTGACATATTACTCATCTCCTATTTCATAGTATTTTATTATCATTATTTTAATTTTTTTTTCTTGATTTTATTTTTGATTGTATTAATCTGTGTGAATCTTTGCTGTCCTGTTTTTTCATGCTTACCCTGTTGTTGCTTTGTACAACTGAATTTCCCCACGTGGATTAATAAAGATCCATCTTATCTTATCTTATTATGCTTTTGGGGGTTTCTGCTTTCCTGTAGTGTGTTTTGTAGGTGCTGCAGCACAAGCAGTATGAGAAATATAAAGAGCTTTTTGAACATTAAAGGTGGTGTATGTAATTTTGGAGAAACCAGCTCGAGTGCGCTAGAATTTGAAAATACACAACCGGAAAAAATCTGCCTCTTCCTTCAGACTTCCTTATAGAGCCCCTCCTCCAACACACACGAACGCGCACATGACCAATGAGGGCACGAGATAAGTTTGTGCACAGATGGAAGGCTGACAGGCAGGTAGGCCATCCAATTATTTTAGCCGGGCCGGCTCAGATGATTGGTCGTGCTTTTTACAGCACCACGGCTTCCACAGATGACATTTTTTTTTATGTATAAAGCATTTAATGTATTCATTGCTATCGGGATGTTAAGAGCATTCCATGGAATATAACAAAAAGTGTTTCTGAAATAAATTACATACCCCACCTTTAAAGCATGGAAACATGTCACAGTAGAGGCACACAATATGATCCCGAAAATGTTAATAATAGGGCTCCTTTAGGGGTGTTTCTTGGTGCCTGGGATTATTTGTTCATTATTATTTTTACTTGGATGTGTTCTAAATGAGGTCTCTACCAGAAAATGTTTTAAGTTTGAATTCAAGTTGAACGAATTGATAAACATTTATATATCCATACAACATCAATACCAAGGATCTGTGTAGCAGATCTATATGTTGATTTATCAAATGGTGCCTCAGTAAGCTTCGCTTTCCCCATCACTACAAATGATGCACACAGCACAAATTGTGAAAAATATATAATATCATATAAAATATTTTAAGCGATACTTCTGCCCCCCTGCTACAGCCATGGATGTATAATAAGAACGGCTACAGCCAACAGAGCCGTGTGAAATGTGTCGGAACCAACCTTCGCTTTAGGATTAAGTCGGACATTTCTTCGGTAACTCAGTGTTTGACCTTCTACCGAAAGTGCTTCCTGTCTGAAATCCATGGTTGCGAACATGTCTTTAATTAAGTTTTGTACACTGCCCAGGCTTCTAGCACGGTAAGAATACGTTTTGAACATGGAGGTCATAAACTATATTTTTGCTCCATGTCGGTAAAGATGTTCTGCCGCTAACAATGCTAATATCGAAGCTAACAGACGTGTCCCTTCAGCTTGTGTTAGGTACAGCAGACTTGTAACAGTGACTATTGAAATGCCTTTATATGTGTCTCTCGTTAAAAAGCGCTTAAAGCAACAGTCGATAAGCAAATATGTCAAAGCTATAATACACTAAATGGCTGGGGACATCTAGCTAAGGTCTCTTTACTCAGAAATGCAATTACTTTGTACTATTGTCTTCGCTTGTCATGTGTTGGTGTTTATTATAGCTTGCCTATTTTAGACCATTGTTAAACTGAATCAATGAAGGACCATTAAGTGACAAAATTAGAGTTTTCCATTAGATTCTTTATTAGGGTATTGGTTTTGATAGCTTGTAATGTCTTTGTATAAAACATGAACTCTCTCCAATTCTGAAGTCTTAGTAATTAATTTTCTAAATACTTTCTGTTTAGTGTCTGATCCCCTTTTCTAAAGCTTTGGATATGTATTCAAGGTCTCCCATATCACATCATATCTTCAATATGTCTTATGATCGTACTATATATTTCAACTGTTTGTTTATGAATGATGAATTGAAACAGGAAAAACATTGGCACCATTTATCTTTACCTGCTAAATGATGGTAAGATATGCAAGTGGCTAATAAAAACAATGGAAATCTATCAAAGGGCTGGTAATATTTTAACATTTACGAGCTATTTGACCAGCATGCAGATAAGATTACATTTTGCATCATGACACTAAGGTCTCATTTGGTGTGTGTGTGCAGGTGTGTGTGCCCTGTGTTCCCGCGCCTCGGCCAGGCCTCTCTGCTCCACACTCAGCCTCCTCAGCTGAACTCCAACCGGACGTCGGTGGTGCGCTGCGGCCGGCAGAAGTATGAGAGGGCGTTTCCTGTGATTTTAGTGCGACCTGATGGAGCAACAATCAACATTAAATACAAAGAACCCAGACGCATCCTGATGGTGAGAACTCTCTGCTCTGGCGCTATACACTTTCATTATTTCTGCTCATGGCAATCCGATTGACCACACAGTTTCATTATTGGACATTTGTATCTAGCGGTGAGATACGAGTCATGTCGTGTGGTATATGTCAATAGGAATGGTTATATTACAATACATTGGAACACAAGTTGTTTTGAGTGCCATTAGTCAGTAAAACAAAAATGACATGCTACAAAGCAACAGTGAAATACAGCTCGAGAATAAGAGCAACATCAGTCAATCAATCAAAGTAAAAAAGGCATATATTGTCTAATACAAAGACATCCAAATGACCAAAATGATAATGTGAACGTATAAAAACAAAGATGGATCCAGGTGCATGTCAAAAGTCTTCCAGGCGTAGCCAAAAATCATGATTCAGACGTTACCTGCCAGGTGAGAGAGACAAAAAGTCTGAGGATGATAACCCAGATGCTAAGCTAGTAACACACATTTGTGGGACATGAGAGCACAGCAGCGTTTTTAACAGTTGATTACCCTGAACTTTAAGTATAATTTAACTGAAAAACCAATAATAAAAAAAAATAATCATTTTATTTCGATTATGTTGTTTTTATAATCGTTGCAAGCCAAAATCGTAATTGCGATTAAAATACGATTAATTGAGCAGCCCTACATCCCAGTGCCGGACCTATCAGCCATAGATGACCCGGCGGCTACACAGCCAAAGCCCATAAAGTAGCTACCCTCAGACACTTTTCGGACAAAAGAAAAGGAGCTTCGCTGCCCACTGGTATGACAAGTACACATTCTTGGAGTATAGCATTAGGACTGTGGGTGTTTCTCAATCGCGAGTAAAGCTGCTTCAGAGCCACTATTTCAAGCATACTACGTCATCGAGTGCCGCCGAAGTACTGTTCCAATCTCCAGCATACTTGGAAATCTACCGAGCCCGGCGTACTCCGTTTAGAGAAATATCGAGGCTGCACATGAGTAGACTCCGCGGTCTTAAAATCCCCACAATGCTTTGCGCACGGACCAATTTCCCCAAATCTGTGGCGGAAGATGTAAGGCGGGGCCTCTCATATGACGCACACCTGCACACTTGCTAGCGTGTTCCACTCTTCGTTTTCCGAATGCCAGGAAGTATTCTTGACTCGCTTCTGAAGCAAGATGCTCGGCAGACATGTGCTACCAAGCAAGCGTACTCGAGATTGAGAAACACCCAGTGTGTTTTGTAAAATGTGCCGGCATTTTAGAGAGAGAGGCGGGGCCGGCGAAGAAGATACATTCAGTCGCCATGGTTACAGGGACTGGAAACACATCGACTATGCTCTCAGTAAACACGAATGTCATTCTAGGAATAGCCTATTTTTATTCGATTATTAACAAAAATCGCGAGAAAACATTTGAACAGGCCCAGCCAAAATTACATTGGCCCACCCACAATTGAAATCCTGGCGCGGCGACTGTGAGAGCATACAGATTAAGAGAAAATAATTAGGGAAGAGAGGTGAAAAATGTTAGACCAAACAACACTGTGTAACACAATTACTGCAGCAAGCCTACTTATTGGGCAGTACTTGCCATTATGAATTAAACAACATGAATTGTTACTATGGCATGCCTGTCTATAAGTATGTTGATTCAGAATGTCATGATTCTGTCAGTTTATTGGATTTTCTCTGTGTGTTTTGAAAGATGCCAGTCAACCTGTCCACTCTGTCTGAAGAGGAGCGTCGAGCTCGACAGAAAAAGAGAGCCGTGAAGAAGACGAAAGAACTAACAGCAGTCGACTATGAGGACGACTTCACAGCAGACAAATACAGCAAATTCTGGAAGAAGAAATGATGAAAAGAAACAAAGAAACAAGACATTGCAGATCAGAATAGAAGATTTAATTTGTCCATATAGTATGTTGTGATTGTATTGTATTATTGCCCAAAAGGACTTGGTATAAAAACAGAAATGGCGGAACAGTGAATCTTTCGTATGGCAAAGAGACATGTAGCAGGAACTCTGAATCCTTACAGTCTCAACAACCTGCCGAAGCTGGAATCCATAACAATGTTAAGTCAATAAATTGGTTTGAAGCTGTGTATCTCGGGTGTTGAATTTATTAAAACTCACGGAATATTTAGAAAATGTTGATGGGCTTGATGTTTGGGCTTCTGATTGATTGATTTATTTTAAATACAAAAAGTATGATGTTTTTTTTGTTACTTATATGGAGGAAGAATCAGTTAATTTGACATTAAAGTGTACTTATTTCAGACCTTTACATATATTATTGAAGAAACCTTTCTAGCACAAAGGTTAGGCACAGATTCATGTTATCTCTTCACAGTCCAGCAGTCCGTTTCTTGCATTTCATGGATGTGACCCTGTGAGGAAATGGTAAACATGTGTTATTCGGATGTAGAAGGTTCAGAGTAGATAGGGAAAAACTGAAGGAAAGGGTTGTAGAAATGGCAAGAGAATGGAGCCCAAAAGGGCTGTCGGAAGCAGTTTCAGGTTCAAAGGGCCTTGTTTAAATGTTTAACTTATAAAACGGATAGGATATACAGAATATAGTTAACTTGTTTATTTTATTTGTATTTATATAAGAAATTGGTCTTAATGATGTGACAAACTCTGGTACAGGTTGGTTTGTAGTCCGCCATTAAAACTAAAGAAGAAGAAAAAGAAGACGTTTCAACCCTAGGAAACAAGATAACATTAGGATAATCAATTTATACAACCCATGTAAAAATCTAACCACTGATATATTTAAAAAAATAGCAGGCAATAAACATAGGAAGGAAGTTTGGTGTGGTGATTTCAATGCACACAACAGTCTATGGGGCAGCAACCATACAGACAGCAACGGAAATATAGTGGAAGAAATGCTGGAGGAAAGAACACTAGTATGCCTTAATGATGGACATGGCACAAGAGTAGATGTACACAGGGGGAAAGTATCATGCCTGGATCTGACATTAGTGTCAAACTGTTTGGTTCATACATGCGAATGGTTTGTTTTGAATAACTCCACAGTAGGAAGTGACCATTATCCAGTGCTTACTAAAATGAATACTAATGTATATATACAGGAAGGAGGTGTAATAACTAGGTGGTGCTTTGCTAAAGCTGATTGGGGGAAATGTAGGATATGGTGTGAGGAGTCGGTACACCTGCTAACATCAGAGGGAAGCATAGAGGTAATTACAAGCCAAATAACGCAACATATTCTAAATGCAGCAGAGAACAGTATACCCAAAACAACAACCAAGGGTAGGAAGAAAGTGGTGCCATGGTGGAATGAGGAATGCAGCAGGGCTATTAAAGAGCGAAACGATGCATTTAGAGAATTAAAGAAAAAGATGACAAAATAATGTTATAGAGTTTCAAAGGAAAAGGGCAGCTGCTCGAAGGACAATAAAATATACAAAAAAAAGAACATGGAGAGAATTTTGTTCTACCATTGGCAGAGGAGTAAAATTAGGTGATGTCTGGTCCATGTTTAAGCGGATGAGTGGGAAAAGGAAATCCATTAAAATTCCAGCTTTGGTTGATGGGGAGAGGCTGGCAGTGACAGATAAAGAGAAGGCAGATATGTTAGGAAGGACACTTGCAGCAGTACATAGTGGGGAACATCTCAGTGATATTCATAGGCAGCAAAAACAGCAGTTACTAGCAGAGAATGAAAACGTGAAGGAGAAGAGACAGGATAATAGGTCAGCTCTTGATGTGGAATTTACAATGTCAGAACTCAAAATAGCCTTACAAGGTACAGGATATACAGCCCCAGGACAAGTCCAGCTATGTTATGCTATGTTTAGACAGTTGCCTATGGAAACTATGACAAAGGTGCTGAGTCTTTTCAATAAAATCTGGAGAGAAGGAGATATGCCAAGTTTGTGGAAAACAGCACTCGTGCTACCATTCAATAAGCCAGGGAAAGATACAGCTAACCCTAGTAACTACAGACCAATAGCTCTTACATCACACCTATGTAAATGGATGGAAAAGATCATTGTCCGTAGGCTCTCACATGTACTGGAGCAGAAAGGGCTGCTGAGTAGTTTTCAGAGCGGATTTCGTAAAGGGCGGTCCACAATAGATGCGTTAGTAAGAGTGAGTAATGATGTGGAAAAAACATTGAAAATGAAAGAGATAATGGCAATAGTGTACTTTGACATTGAAAAGGCGTATGACTGTATGTGGAGGGATGGGTTACTGATCAAATTGAGTAGAATGGGTATTGGAGGGAGAATGTACAATTGGGTAAGGGCCTTTTTAACAGACAGGACATTTAGAGTAAAGGTTGGAGCAGATATTTCCAATTATTTTGAAATAGAAAATGGTATTCCCCGAGGGAGTGCAGTCAGTCCAATATTATTTAACATCATGATTAATGATATATTTACATGTTTAGACACATGCATTCAATCGGCTCTATACGCAGATGATGGGGCTATTTGGATGAGGGGAAGAAATGCCCCATACGTAATGGAGAATATAGCTAGAGCGATTAAAAAAGTGGAGAGGTGGTCATATAACTGGGGATTCAAAATGTCAGAAAGCAAGTCATGCTACATGGTATTCACAAACAAACGCAAGATTGATGGCCAACAGCTAACACTATATGATCGTCCAATGACAAAGGTGAATGAGTTCAAATACCTAGGACTGTGGTTTGATAGCAAATATACATGGAAAATGCATATTAATCAAGTGGAAACAAAATGCAAAAAAGTATTAAATTTATTGCGAGCTGTAGCTGGATGCAACTGGGGCGCAGACAAACAAGCATGAATAGACATTTACAGATCAATTATGAGGTCCACAATAGATTATGGTTGTATAGTGTATGGAGCAGCAGCAAAAACATCGCTTTTAAAAATTGATAGACTACAATATAAAGCATTGCGGTTGTGTATTGGAGCGATAAAGTCATCCCCTATCAATGCAGTTCTGATAGAAGCAGGAGAAACACCTCTGGAGATCAGAAGAGAGAAACTTGCTCTGTCATACTGGGTCAGACTACAAGGAAGTGGAGAAGAAAATATTTCAAACAGAATATTACAGGATTGCTGGGAATATGCAAAATTCCAGGGACGTGGGTTTGGCTGGACAAGTAAGGAGAGAACGAGGGCATATGGAGTGGAGAATATAACGTTTGCCAAAGCAACCCCATTTAGCAGTGTTCCCCCATGGCTTTTCCCAGAAGCTAAAATAGATATGAGTATTGTAGAAAGGAAAAAAGAGTGGCAAGTAAATGAAGTGGGAATTAAAACAAGTATGTATCTGAATGAAAAGTACTACAATTACCTACAAATTTACACAGATGGTTCTAAGAACAAGGAAGAGTGTGTTGGAGTTGGTATATACATCCCAGACTTTAAAATATCTATTTCAAAAAGAGCGTCTGATCAATTATCAGTGTACACAGCAGAAATGCTTGCTGTAATAATAGGATTACAGTGGGTTGAAGAGGTCAGACCAGATAGGGTGGTGATGTGCACAGATTCATTGTCCATATTACAAAGCATACAATCAACAACAACTGCCAGAGAAGACATTCTCATAGAAATCAATCACAGCCTGTTAAGACTTCACAGAGGCGGTATAGATCTGCAGTTCTGCTGGGTGCCTGCACATGAGGGGGTGAAAGGGAGCGAGTGTGCTGATAAATTAGCAAAAAGTGCACTACAAAAGGAAATAACATTACCAGTTAAACTTGGAAAAGGAGAAGGAAAAGCAGTAATTAAGAAAAAAGGGATGGAAATCTGGCAGAAAAGGTGGGAGAAAGATCAGAAAGGCAAAGAGTATCACAAAGTACAAAAGACAATTACAATTCATATTTATAAAGAAAGAAACAGAAGGGAGGAAATCACGATCGCTAGACTCAGAATAAATCACACGGCTTTGAATGGTACGCTGTATAGCATGGGGAAAAGTGACAGTGACAAGTGTGGGAACTGTGGAGTAAAAGAAGATGTAGAACATATCTTGTTACATTGTGACATCTTTAAAGCGGAAAGAGAAAAACTAAAGGCTAAAGTTTTAGAGGCACAGAGGGAATGGAGTGTGGTTGGTGTTTTGGGAACAAAAGGAGAGGGAGTAAGAGCTACCAGAAAGGCACTGTTTACATTCTTGAGTGAAACTGGGGTAGGAACATTTTTTTAACATTAGGTCAGGAAAGAACATAGGTTTTTTATTTTTGTTTTATTTATTTCATGTTTTTGTTGATTTATTTAAATTTTATTTATTTTTATTAGATCATAGGTTAAAGAGTTGGAATGATATGATGATTCATACTCATGTACAGTAGGTGGCGGTATGCACCTTTTAAGTTGTTTGCAATCCGCCAAAAACGAGAGAAGAAGAAGAAGAAGAAGACGTTTCTCGCGAGAACTCCAGATTGCGTCCTTGCTAAAACCGAAATGGGGTACTGGGACATACCAGAGGGCACTGCCTGCGTCCAGAAAACATGGATCAGTACAAAGCTAGGCACAGCTTTGGGTAAATATCAGCATTGATAAATAAACTGCGAGTCAATGTGGCTGTGAACGCTGGGGCGCGAAAGATAACGAACAGTAGCGTTCATGTTTGAGCTAATGCTACCGCTAACGTTAGCAAGTTAGCCCAGGTCTTGTATCTGCTATGCAAGATGTTTTCAGGTCAACTTCCAACCAAACTCTATGATAAACTACTTTGGTTTCCCATAAGTAAATGTATAGTAGAGGCAGTGAGCTAACAACACACATTTACATTGGAGTTATGTGGAGTCGCATGTTCATTTGACATCTAAAGTGGAACTTATGTGACTGATATCGGGTTATTGATAAATGATTTCAAAGGAAAACTTTGAACCAAGTTTTTGGTCATACTTTTGCCAAATATCAAACGTTTCCTTTGTAAAGACGACAATATAACGCTGAGTTTTTAAAGGCTTCTTATCACGTATAAATCTCACCTTTCTGTCAGCTGGACTTACACCTGCACTTTATCTACTTTAGCCTATATGTTTCTATATCTACAGTATGCCTAAGTAAGTATCTGAGATAGTTTCGCGTGAAACTCCAGTAGATCAGTCCGTCTTGCACTAAGAACCATGCTACGTTCAAAGTCACTTTGTAATACTATTAAAGACCTTGGAATAGAGATGAGAAGAAAAATATGACTTCAGAGGTTTTCCTTTTGCTATAATAATCATCTCAATGAATTACAGTGATAGCACATAAACATTGTTTTCCTCATATGTATAAACACATAAAAAAAAAAGAAGAATTATTAAATAAGTGGACTGTGTAGATCTTTTCCCCTTTGTTTTAGAAGCCTCTTCTCCCAATATACACTGTCCGTCTGAGAATATCTAATATTCATTTATTGTGATGCATTAATGACTGATGCTGGATTATTATTCCTATTTTCAAGATGCATGTATTTTATTTGCATGCTTTTTGGATAATGCAATCAAGATGGAGTTGGTGTTAAAATGACAAACCCATGTCCAGTTGTTTACATGGTGTCATACTGACGCTGACTGAAGAGCTGAAAGAGTACATTCAGCTCGATTAGAATTTTACCTATTCTTGGGACTTAAAGGTGGGGTAGGTAAGTTTGAGAAACCGGCTCGAGATACACTTTTAGTTATATTCCATGGAATGCTCTTAACATCCCGATAGCAATGAATATCTTAAGTGCTTTGACAAAAAATCATCTGTGGAAGCCGTAATACTGTAAAAAGTACGACCAATCATTTTAGCCGGCCCGGCTAAAATAACTGGATGGCCTACCTGCCTGTCAGCCTTCCATCTGTGCACAAACTTATCTCGTGCCCTCATTGGTCATGTGCGCGTTCGTGTGTGTTGGAGGAGGGGCTCTGTAAGGAAGTGGCAGATTTTCTCCGGTTGTGTATTTTCAAATTCTAGCGATCTCGAGCCGGTTTCTCAAACTTACCTACCCTACCTTTAAGGTTTTCATTGCCATATCTAAACTGTGGCATCTGTGCATATGACAATAAAGCCCCTGAACCTTGAACCTATTTGTTAAAGTGTGTCTTACTTTGTGTGTGTTTTCAGGCATGGTTGGTTCCGCCTACCACCTTGTGGCAGTCCAGCCTGAATCTGCAATGGCAGGGCTACAGAGGGCCACCAACATAACTGTAACCATGGGTAAATATTCATGATTGAATGATTTCATATTTTAGAATCCGTCTGATTTAAAACACAAGAATAAGACTTCTTCGTGACCTCAAAAAAAGACCACCCATTATCACTGATGAACCATAGCCGTTCAAACAGCAGTTGTCCCCTGTTCTCCTGCTGCTCACATCTTCAGTAAACCTCTCAGAAATATGCTATATGTCTATAGGTCAGTTCTCGACCAGGTACCTAAAGTCTGCTCCTTAAATATGTTTTTTTCCACCAGAGGTTTGGTTACTAACAATATCCTCGAGCTGGTGGGCACCGAGATGTTTTTCTTTAATTAAAGGGGACCTATCATGCAAAATGCACTTTTGTACGTCTTTTATACATGAATATGTATCCCCGGTGTTCCAGGGAACTCACCAAGTGTCAGAAAACACAACCCTCTTTATTTTCCTCCATACCCAAATCTCTAAAAAAGGGGCTGCAACGGATCTGATAAAAACTGATCCAGATTTGAACACTGTCCTGACGTCAGGACGGTGGCGCTGCGGCTATTGGGCCAACTCTCCACCTATCAGGGGAATGTGGGGTTGGGTCACGGCCGGCCATTGCCGCTCGAAAGCGCTGGACATATGCCAGGCCTGTAAGTGGCGCTGTAGTCTGCCACAAAAGCAGCGAAGAAGACTTCCCGCGCATGGTTACCATGGTTACCCTTCTGTTTATTCTCCGCTGTGGCTTTTTTTCTCCCTCCCCGAGGCAAGCGTTTGCTCCTGCTGCTTTAATTCAATGCAATCCCTCCCCGTCGAGGCAAGCACTGTAATTCTCTCCGGTTAGTCCACCAGCAGATGACAAACACCCATCTCTCCGACTCTTCCAAGGAACGAGGGGACCGTGCGGCAGAGTTTCAGTTAGGTTTTCTTTCGCCGGTCAAGATGTCCGTTAAAGTTTAAATCTTCCAGACAAAATTAGAAAAGTGCCGGTCAAAGGTCTTCTTTGTTATTTATTGAGCTTTAAAACAAATGAATAACGACTCTATATAATAAAACACAGAGGACGGAGATCTATTTTTCTCCCCCTCTTCTGACTTGATCAGAGCGGCTCCCCTCTCCTGCAGGGGGGCGTGGTCAGCTGCAGCTCACAGAATCAGCCCCCTGCAAAAACGGAGCTGGAGAACAGCAAATAGAGCGAAATGAGGCATGGCTAAAATGCATGATCTGTTTGGTATTTTGAAAACAGAAACGTATAAATATACCTTATATAAGTATGGCCCTACAATATATCATTTAAATATAGCATGATAGGTCCACTTTAAACGGCAGACAATTTGTGCTGTAGAAGATATACCACTTGTTTTTAGTTACTAAAATATTCTTAAAAGCAGAAAAAGTCACATAATGACAACAACAGTATTTGGAAATAAGGATATCAAATTGTAGCGTGGCATTCAGCCCCACATGAGATTACATTTCACCATCACTTCCGTTCCGAAGAGTCGTGCTCTGGCTGTTTTTTCACACTCGGTGCACCTGACATTGTGAGAGTTTTCAAAAACTGCCATTTAAAAACTATTTTCTCAGACTCTGACTGTACTGTATGTACTGTAACTGTATATTATGATTAATATTGCGTGTGTGTGTGTGTATATAACCAGCCACCATGGGGGCGGTCTTCGGCATGGCGACTTGCCTCAGTGCTCAGGCTCGTGACGCTCCAGATGACCCTTTCAACTACTTCATCGGGGGGTGTGCCTCTGGGATCTTCATTGGAGCCAGAAGTAAGTGAAATCCTGACGCTCATTCAAAAAGTTCTGCCGATCCAGCAGCTCACCTAGCATTAGCATCACTGCAGCTACATGTAGTTGACTATTAACATGACCCTGAAAATCAGGCTGACCCGAATACTTCGATTCCTTCACTGTTTCCATGCTGATCAACGTCCAAATCAGAATTTAAGTGCAGCGTTTCATTTTGTCTTTGAAATATGCATTACCAAAACAAAATCTGAAATAGCCAATACATTAAGGAATAGTTATCCCAGATAATTTTTTGTGCATCAACAATATTTAATAATTAATTGTGCTGTTTGTTGGCCGTTGCACAGGAGATGTAGAGACAGTCGCAATAACCTCTTTGAAAAAACGTCATGGGTTTAAGGAAATATGAGGAGATTTCATCAGGACTTAGGGAAAGACAAGTGCACTGGGCGATAGGGCTGTGCGATTATGGCAAAAATCATAATCACGATTATTTGGGTCAATAATTGATATCACGATTATTAAATACGATTATTCATTGAAAATCCATTTATTGAACTTTAAAACAAATAGAAATAATAATTTGAACAGTATATTTTTAACTGTTGATTACCCTGAACGTATAATTCAACTGAAAAACCAATACAAAAATAAATGATACATTTAAATAAATAATATCAAAATAATAAATACCAATAAACAAGATCAACAAATATTTTGGAGCGCACTTCCACAAGCTACTAAACATATATAAATATGATAAATACAAATAAATGAGACTAAAATTAATTAGATCAAATATGTTGCAGTGCACTGTCACAACCTAGCAAAGCAAAATAATTATTTTTTTCGATTATGTTGTTTTCGTAATTGTGGCAGGCCAAAATCGTAATTGCGATTAAAATACGATTAATTGCACAGCCCTACTGGGCGACATAATTATGATGCTGCTTTTGGAAAACTACAATTTCCCATGGATGGACTACAAAAAGCACATATGTGACCTGCTCTATCGAAATCAGTCGCATTGACCCGAAGACACATTTTGAGTTGTATACACTGTTGGAAAGAGGAGATTCCTAGCTTTCTAATGATATCAGGATTGTTTTTGTACTCCAAATATTAAGCAAAAATATGTCACATTATATAATGACTGTCACCGAGTCATCATTTTGAGAAAAAGGCCTTTAAAGTTTCCTCTTCTCTGGAATCCATCGATCGGATTGATTATTAGCGGAGCAAATGATCAAAATAGTCCGGAGGGAAAATATTTTTGTTTGGATTACTGGTCTGGGGGAAGCTCGCGAGTGTGTGTGTGTTTGTGTATTTTTGCGTAAGTGTATATTGTGTTTGTTTCCCGGGGAAAACACTCACGAGAAACACCGGCTGTTGTTATGCTTGCTGTGACGTTAAGTTACTCCGTTCTCCGCTTGTAAATATGCCGTTACAAGCTTCATAGTTGTATTTATCATCTAAATTTGCCGAAACAAGTTTAATATTCTGAAAGCCAAGACTTTGTTTATTTGAAATCAGATGAAAACAAACTGTAAAGGACCCTGCCGTGTTATCTATGATTACTATATGCCTTACATTCATAATTTCAGCCGGAGGGAGGGGGAGCTGCGCTGCGGAAGAGCAGGGTGCGAGTGAGAGGTGCCTGTCATCTTCCCTTTACAAGCTTCAAAAATGTATTTATCGTGTGATTTTGGAAATAAAAGTTTCATATTCTGAAAGCCAAGACTTTGTTTATTTAAAATCAAACAAAACACCCGAACCCCGAAAAAATAGTTTTTTACGTAAATCCACGTTTATTTTGAAATGAGCCGTTGCGACTTCCGACTGATTTCGATAGAGCGGGTCACATATATATACTTCGAGCCGTGCGTGGTTATGATCTTGTTTCATGCAGGCTTTATTAAGGTGGATAACTGTGAGAATATATTACTCCATTACCAAGGTTTGAATAAAAATGTAAGTGAAACTCAATGGTTGCTTGCACTCACCCTCTTTGTCAGCTTGTATTTATTGAAATGAATACCAATTAGTGTTATTGTATAAAACGTATCACCATTTAAACATGTTCCATTAAGGAAAAAAGCTTAAGAAACACCACTCAACTCAGGAAACACTTTGAAAGGTTGACTTTATTTGATAATTGTATTGTATTTGGCGTTATGTTCCTATTTCGCCTTCTGGTTTAATAAACTATTGAAAGTTCAAAACATTTAAGCTCTTTGGCAGGTTATGGCATAAGATGGAAAATGCACCGTAACGTACATGAGCCAAGTCTGTTGGCTCTTATCATGGCAGCCACTCAGGTTCTTTTGGGTCATTTCACTCATACAAGCTAATAGACAATTAGACTGCAACCCAGTTATTGGAGTTGTATGTTATATGTTGGTTTTGGCTGCACTCTATTTATTTGTTAATTCATTTGTTTATCGCCCTACATCCAGCACGTACCAAGCATGAATGCCTATGTAAGGTATCTCAAACTAATGACCTATTTGCAGTGGTGTAAAGTAACATTTACATTTACTCAAGTACTGTACTTAAATGTGACTTAAATCAGACTTTAGTTCCACCTGGAGTAAATTCACAAGCTACCCTGCAGTATACAAAGTCACTCAAACTAGCTGCACCTTTACCAGCTTTGAGAACACTTTAATGATCAATCATTATAATCAAAATATATATTATTCTGAAATGGACCAATCTGCACAATGAGTACTTTTACTTTTGGTACTTTAAGTATATGTTGATGCTAATACTTTTGTACTTTTACTTGAGTAACATTTTGAATGCAGGACTTTTAATGTAACAGAGTATTCCTACACTCTGGTACTTCTATTTTACTTAAGTGCAAGATCTGAGTACTTCTTCCCCCCTGGTAATTCAACCAGTTTTAAAACTGTCATTACTGAATTGAAGTGTATAAAACAAACCAATCTCCTCTGCTCTTCTTCTGTGTGTGGACCTTAACCCCCCCTCTGTGTGTTTCCAGCCCACAGTGCTGCGACCGGGACGTCAGCCTGTCTGGGTCTCGGTGTGTTGGCCTTCTACACAAAAGTGGGCAAGATGGAGGGATGGAAGCTGACAGGAGCTCCCGTACGATGAGCGGAAGATGCTACGTTTAACCCTGTTGTAAAAAGAGTTTATGTAATAAAGTACTTGTGAATTTACCAGTTATTGAATCATGATGTTAGTCGTATCGCAGTAATATTCTACATTACACGTAGATTAAAACATAGAGGTATATGTAGAGTGACATGCAGTCACATGTAGGAGTTTCACATAGTGTGTGGGGTATGGAGCCCTGGTCCTGTGTTCTGTAGCCGGCTGTAAAGATGTTAATTGATGCTGTAAAAGTGTGCCTTTTAACATGGATGGCCATGGAGATTGACAGCACACACCTACACAAAGTGGAGCTAGCAAGAGATGTGTGTACACGGAACCAGTGGGAATACACATGTGTGCAAAACAAATTATCATTAAGAAAGTGCCCTCATGTATGTGCACCATCCTTAAATAACTTTTACGGCAAAATTAACCAAACAAAAAAGTTCTCCAGAGGGAAATATCAGTTCATCACATTAATTACTTGAGTACCTTTTTTATTTTCAGCACGTGGACTCTTGGTGAAAGACAGTTTTTCCAGTTTCATCATGATTTTCAGTTGTGCAGTTGAGGTCCTTAGGATAGCTTAAGTTGTGTGAAAATGTCAGTCCTTGGAGCTTCACATATATGGAGATAACTTCCTGCCATAACTCCACAAACACACTAAACATCTTTTAGACTGCTGTTAGACCTGACAGCTGCCTTCGACACTGTGGACCATAGCATCCTGTTGTCACGGCTTGAACAGTCCGCTGGCATCACAGGCTCTGCCCTTGCATGGTTCAGGTCCTACCTGACAGACCGTAGCTTCTCAGTACAGCTAGGTGCCTTGTCCTCTGCCAAAGCCCCTCTTACCTGTGGGGTTCCCCAAGGCTCGATTCTGGGCCCCATCCTTTTTCTACTGTACATACTGCCCCTAGGTTCAATTCTCACAAAACATAATATTCCCTTCCACTGCTACGCCGACGATGTACAGATATATCTGCCTCTCAAAGCAAATGTCAAACACTCTCGACAGCAGTTGGTGGACTGCTTAACAGAGATAAAATCCTGGCTGAGCAAAAACTTTCTCAACCTCAACGAGAGCAAGACTGAGGTCATCTTTTTTGGACCCCAACCTCCAGCCTCTCCGGTTGATATTCTGGGCTCTCAATAAAAACATCCTCCCCTCTGTCATGAACCTTGGAGTGACCTTCACTAGCACTTTTAAATTCGACAAGCAGGTCAGCACCGTAGTCAAATCCTCCTTTTTTTTAAATAAGACTATTGGCCAAAACCAAGTAGTATTTATCTTTTAAAGACTTAGAAAGGGTTATTAAAGCCTTTGTTACCTCAAGACTGGACTATTGCAACGCTCTGTATGTGGGTATGGACCAGGCCTCAATTAAACGCCTGCAGCTAGTCCAAAACGCAGCTGCACGTTTGCTGACTGGCCACAAAAAGCGTGACCACATCACCCCAATTCTGGCCTCACTACACTGGCTTCCAGTTCGGTTCAGAATTGATTTTAAAATCCTTTTATTTGTTTTTAAAGCACTAAATGGGCTGGCTCCGGCCTATATAGCTGAACTCCTCCATTGCTACACCCCAGCCAGAGCTTTAAGGTCTGCTGACCAGCCCTAGGCTCTGGAACACTCTGCCCCTCCATGTGAGGTTGTCCCAGACCCTAGGGGTTTTTAAATCTACACTAAAAACACACTTCTTCTCTCTGGCCTTCTAATTAGAGCGGAGCACGACTCCTGACTTTTCCCTGTGTTTTTTTAAATATATATCTGTTGTAATTTATTGTCTTTTATTGTGATTGTAGTAATGTGTTTTTATTACATGTACAGCACTTTGGCTCGACAAAAAATCGCTTTTAAATGTGCTTTATAAATAAAACTTGATTTGATTTGATTTGATTTTACAAATGCCCTTTGATTCACTAAGAACCACTGTGTGGTTTGCAAATACAAACCACCATCCACAAACTAATGCATTTAGTTTTGCATTAGGTATTCTGATTCTGATTTGCAAATGAAAAATGTACCTATCAAATAAACACATCACTTTTTTCTAATAAATCATTTTTCAGAAACAAACAGGATTTTCTCACAAATGTCCTGAGTGAGTCTTCACAGCAGCAGAGGGCGCTGGTGAGTCATTTAAACGGAGGGGGGGTGGGCAGAGCAAGTAACAGCCCCTGCCAGTCTGATGACAGCGGTTTGTCTAGCGTTCCATACCAGACTACATTTTACAATATTTGGCCAACAGGTGAGTTTGTTGTTGTTTCCGGTGAAAAATCTAATGTTAAATAAACTAAGTTACTGTTTTATGAGTAGGATGACATGTAGCAGACCGCAGGAGCTAGCTTACACCAAGCTAGGCTAATCTTTATTTATATATATTTATATATATATATATATAATTGGTATAATATAACTCCTGCAGCCTGCTTTTATCATCCTACTCATAAGGCTTTTTTCAGCAAAAGACATTACACAAACACATTATCCCCCAAAGAAGAAATACAGCAAACTTACAATAAAAAAAAATTAATACTTAAATTAATAACACACACATATACATGTTGACAGTGTGTTCGCTGTCAAAATAATTCAGAAGAGAACACTCAAATCAACATTATTTATTACCAATAATGTAAATGGACAATTAAAATTGTTAAAAGGCTCAAACAGTAGCTGAACAAGCTGGTAAATGAGAAGCTACTTCAAATTCAATTAAATCATATCTAGCATATACATTGACAAGGTTACATCCAGTTCCTCTCCAAAAAATGTGTCAGGCTTTCCCTTTAAAGCATAGGTTAATTTCTCTAAGGCCAGACAATGAGAGATATTTAACATATTGTAAAGTGTAGTCTAGATTAGTGCAAAGTAATTAAAATTAGCTGCACCTTTACCAGCTTTGATACCAAAAATCAATCAATATTCATTATCAAAACATTATATATATTATTCTGAAATGGGCCAATCTACATTATGTATTCTTTGACTTTTGGTGCTTTAAGTATATTTTGTTGCTTATACTTTTTTACTTTTAGTCGAGTAATATTTGATTGCAGGACATTTACTTGTAACAGGCAGTGGCGTTTTTATATGTACAAAAGTGGTGGGGCACAAAAAACTTAGATGTCTATATATAAGCTTCTGCAGTGATGTGCAGTGAGGTTCATGGCTGGTGAGGCACTGGCACTGACTCTTCAGGTTTACAAATATTATATTTTGACCTAAACCAAAATATAATATTATTTTCAAAAGCTTTTTTTGTCTGATGCTTCGATTAATTTTAAACAGACAGTTCAACAAAAGGATACCCAAAAAATGTAATTTTATCATTTAAATATTGAATTGTTCTCTCTTAGTAAGATCCCATTTTCAATAAAATTGCGGTCTTACATTGACTTGAAGATGAAGTCCATTTGCCTATCCTTCTGGACAAACATTTCTATTACTTTTTTGTAAAAGTCCTCCTTATCTTCTTGTAGTTTCAAAAGTCTATCATAAATCTAATCGATTTATGATTCAAAAATTATAAAAGTAGGGTAGACATGTGGATATTATCCGGCTGAACAAAACGTGCATTTATCTAACAGGTACGTTTCCCACAGATCTTATTTCCAGCTATTTTCTAAAATCCTATGGAGAAATCTCATTGCTTTTTTGTCGAGGGAAGCCATGCGCAGCTTACTTCCTGGTTTTAGGATGCGTCACTGCAGCTCTCTCGTCTCCTCTTCACACACCACACTTTTCGCGGCACACGTACTTACAGCCAATCAGCTCTGAATTATGTGAGATGACGTATGGTGGGGATGGCAGCTCAGTGCCCCTATGGTCATTATTTTTTTGCCACACACATTAAATAGGAAAATACTCTGAGCATGCGCAGTGTAGTTTTTACAGTCACCGTTCACTTAGACAGTGAGAGGGAGGGGCATGATCAGGTTTTGTCCCACATGGCTCAAAACGGCTCAATAGGCACACACTGTAGACACTAATTAGAAGAACACAGACTAAAACAGCAATGTACAGATGAATCAGATGATTAAACATGATCTTAAAATATATTTTATATTTTTTTAAATATCTTTTTTGCATTTTTTGTAATCATTATTTGTAATACTTTCTGCTGACACTAGGTGGGGCTGTGCCCCACCTGCCCCTAATGACCAGTCGCCACTGGTAACAGAGTATTCCTACACTGGGGTAAGATCTGAACATCTACCAGCTCTGACCTTTGCAAAAATGCAAAAAATGGCTTACTTACTAATGTTAGCTTATAATTATTTAAACCTCGTGCAATTACACACAATTGTTTGCAATTATGGAGCTTTTGGATTTGACAGTGAATGTATTGATATTAGTCTGTTACAATATCAACTGCACAAATAAAACATGCACATAGACGGATAACTAGCAGGTTAGGATAAGTGAAGATATAATTCAGCTATTAGGGTGGCTCTGCTCATGATTCATTGTTTTGAGTGAAAGGAAACCAAGATATTCAAGATCGAAAATGTGTCCTCTGCTCAGAGATTTTATTAATAGGAAAACCTGCCTTTCATTTAGCATATTCAGGCAGTAGCCTATACCCCAACAATAAAACACATAAGCACATGCTACAGTTTAAAATATTTATCTGAAATATAAGAAAAAACTGCATTTCCCACAAGCCCTCTGAATTCCTGATCCCTCCCCTTCTGCTGGAATCTTATCGGATGGAAGTGATTTGTGTGTTGGCCACCGCCCTTGGGAACTCTGCAGTGCAGTCTAAAGGCCATTAGAGGCAGACAGTTTTTGCTGATAAAATTTTGCTTATAAATATTGTATGATAATTATATTGTGAGACACATGTAAGTTCCTCACAACAGATTGTGTTAATACTTTCAACACATACACAATCAAGTCCCATAGATACAGTGGATGGAACAGTATAGTGGTACTCCCCCTGATGCAGCCTTCAGTAACGCCTTAATATTAAGCTACTGTTGTATTTTTGTAACATGATATTCTGTGTAAGCAGGGTGGGTCTTCATCGTGGACTCCCCCTCCCCATTCTTGCATGC